TAAAATTGGTACTCTGGATTCCAGACATTTTCCTCTGTCCTATAAACAAGGAAGAACTGAAGAGTAAAGTATCAGAACGTCATCCTTGACGTTCCGGGGTGGGGGGGGGGGGGCACTGCTATGACTTTCAGTCTAATGCTACCCTAGTGCCATCAAATAAGAGAGAATAAATAAGATAACTTTATTTATGCACGGATTTTCCACAGTAAATTAAGTTTTCCATCAGTCAAGTGAAAAAAGTTTTGTTTTTTCGGTGGGCTTTTCTTTTTTTCAGAGGGGGTGGAGTATCTTATTGCATGTAAAGTATCTCAACCTGGAATTTTGCATTTCAACAATGTTTGGGTTAATATAATGTGTATGGAACTTAAAAACTGTTCATCACATACAGTAAATCTCTCTAGTCTCTAGACACAAGTAATTATGAAGCACAAACAAGTTCTACTAAGAGTTGCTATATGAGCATTACAAGTCTCTGAGCATATTAAAACAACACCAAAATAAACCAGTCCCACCATAGGGGACTGATAGTTCTATTAAAGCTATACATTTCTTTAAGATAGGAAGAATGTCTGCAGTTGAGCCAATGAGCCCATCAAGCTGATTCTTATCTCCCTCCAGTTTCTGTAGCATGAGGCATCAATAGTAGGTTTTCTACTGGGTTACCCCTAGCACTAAATATGTCAGTTCTCATCTATACACCTGGATGGAAAGAGGCACTGTGAGAGTAAACTCCAGAAAAATGTTGTCAAGTGTCTTTTTAAGAACACAACACGATGACACAAGCCACCTCTGGAACCGGGGTCACTCGATCTGGAGTCCAACGTGCTATCCGTTTGGCCACGCCCAAAAGGCGAGAAAAATCGGACAGTAATTTAAGAAAGTAAAAGGAAAAAAAGAAAAGAGCTTAACTTGCCATGTGTACCCTTGGCAAAGTACATATATGGAACTGCTAGCTCGTCTTTTATTTCCTTTTATTGATTGTTTTTCCCCGCTAGACCGTTGATGAAGCTGTTGTTTGAACGTGACTCTTTGATTATCATGTGTCTGTAGGTATAACAATAGGAGACATTGGAGCAAAGTTTTCCCTAACATCTAATGGAGCTGACAACGGATATCTAATGTTTGACTATATACGAATTCCACTCAACCAAATGTTGATGGGGCTAGCAAAGGTAAAGCAGTTTATTTTGTCCTATTTCTCCGTACGAACTTAAATTATCATTCATCATTTCCAGTTCTTAAGTCTGCTACACGAGAATATACCCACCTACGGCAAAATTAATCTTCTTGAACCATAATAGTAAATAATAGGCCACGTTCGATATATCAAAATTCTAACATGGCTTCGAGGCTTTCAGGACAAACGTCTTTATTTGGTGGTGTTTTCTTTGTATCCAAGTTTCTTTTTAGTTTGAGAATTGAGGGACAAAAGAAACTTGAAAAGAAACTTGCTATTTTGTCCTGAAAGCCTCTGAGCCATATTCATATATCAAACGTGGCATATTACAGCAAGTATTTAAGAGAAAAGGAGATAGCAATTAAAGAAAACGAGGACCAAACTTGAGATACCGTCAAGAGAATGTAACGTGCTTTGTCGATTAAACGCCGGGTCCAGCGAATACACGTCGTTCTCCACTGAACTACCAGATTGAATAGTTATAAAATACCGTATGAAATCTATTTTCTATTATTAATCAACAGCTTTCCCCTGATGGCACCTTCACCAAACCAGCAAATACCAAACTTTTGTATGGCACCATGAGTTTTATGCGAGCAGCCATTGTTGGTAGTTCTTTCCGGTCTCTATCTCAAGCCATAACTATAGCCATTCGGTATAGTGCAGTGAGGCGACAGAGTCAACTCAAACCAGGGCGAGTTATTTTCAATTTTAGCTTCCAATGTGTGATGTGGTGACACCAGCCGCATGCAAAACGAAAGATGTATGTGATTGTGGTTTATGTGATTCATGTGGTTGAGACTTGAGGATGCCGTGATAGTATGACACTTTAGATAGCTCGCGTTTCTGAACGGCGAAAATCGATAAAAAATCGGCACGGAAATTGGTTTTTGCTTCTTAAAAGAAAGTTGACAGTTGCTTTTGTGATGAACACATTTTGACTGCCTTTGTGCCCCTAATCCATTTTCCAGTAGCAAGGGGTCTGTAGCCAATGCAAACTTCTGTTCTCTGAAATGTTCGGCTTTTTTCTCACCAAAATATAGTCTATTTGCGCGGCTTATTTATTTATTAATGGGAAACAGATCTAAGAGAGAATGCAGAAATTAATTAGTACCCTTTGTTTTTAACAACAGCGAGCTGGAAGCACAGATTATCGCCTATAAAACCCAACAGTACAAACTGTTACCAGGTTTAGCCATGGCTTATGCTACAAAGTTTACTTTTGATCGTGTGTGGAGAATGTTCAAAGAAACACAAATGTCCATTGCTGCTGGAGATTTCACTATGTTACCAGAGGTAAGGCGTTATTAGATGTCCAGTAAACTGAATCGTGCAGATAATCAGTTTCTTTTACTTTTTTAAACTATTAAAGAATATTTTTATTGCAGCTAACACTTGTTAAAATATCGAATTACAACTTGACCCTGTTGATCACTTGAAGGTTCCCACGCCTGCAACTTTTTCAGAAAAATCCTGCACGCAACAAATTGTTGAAAACAAAATTCATTCTTGGTTGTCTCCAATTGCTAGTCCTGTCACAAACATCAAATTGAAACTATTACTATCGTCCTTCTCCTGTAACCTTGGAAGTATTAAAAGGATTTTTTCCCTCGATTTTTGTGTGTGCGTTGAAGGTGAAACTATAGCAATACGGTAACAGTGCCGACCCTTTGATAATACGCCGCCACACCTAATGGCACGTTTCGGATTCTAATGCTACTTATCTTGCCCGTAGGTGCATCCTATTACCAGTGGTCTTAAAGCGTTCTGTACATCAACATCAATGCGCCATGCTGAGACATGTCGACTTGCTTGTGGTGGACATGGCTACCTACTGTACAGCGCTCTTCCAGAATTGTATACATTACTAAATGCTGGTTGTACTTATGAAGGAGATAACGATGTTCTCTTTCTACAAGTAGCTAGGTAAGCAACTCGATTATATATTGCTATTAGTCGCGATTG